AACAAGGGTGCTGGGTTTTTACTAGTTGTTTGTTGTTTAATGTGTCCAATGAGCTCTCAAGTGACTCATCAGGTAAACTGCTAAAAAGTAGCTCTGAGATTGGACTGTCTTTGGGAAAGAGAGGGAGACAGCAGGAGCATGCTTACAGGAAACCAGAGATTGGTGGAAAGCATAAATGAGGCAGAATAGACTAAATAACCTGTTCCTGTGGGCCCAAGAGAACTATATTACTGAAAAACTAAATGATACCTGCCTGACATTTTATAGATCTTAAATGAAAATATTGTAAGGGAAACTTCTGCAGCAATGGAGAGTCGGGACTCAGAGAGACACGAGGAGAGTTGGAGCTTTGATGTCAAACACTGATGGTTTATTACGAGTATCGGCCGGAGAATTCACATCACAAGTCACAGCAGCCAGAGGTTCTGACTGCACGGGAGGGTTGCCACATCAATTCTGAAGAGCCTCTCTCTCGATAGACCTTTTAACTAGTTTACAGAGAGTAATCAACATATTTGAGATAGCCTAAACATCTGGGCGCACTGAATCATTTGTCAGACCCTTAATGGCCTCGAAGATTACACACCTTGGAGTCCACAAACACAAAGAAGGAAGTGTTCCAGCGTTCTCACAACCATAAACCATTTGTGGCCGAGAGTTGACCGGTCATAAGCTGGGAACAGCCCATCTCCTTAAGGGAGATAACAGACGTCAGGGTTGGTCATAAACGTCAAAGGGCAAAAAGGTTAGATGTGTCTAGGAGTAAAGGAGAATTATTCCCTAACAAATGTTATAGCTCAAAATTAAAGACTTGTTCTCCTGTGCTTTTGCAGACCAAGTATAAGTCGTATCAGTCTTTGTTTTCTAAATTAGGGGTTTCTATTTTGTTGTGTTTTAAAATGTTTTTACATCGTGTATGTATTTTTCAGTCTGTGGCTATAAGTATGGTTTTATTGTCTCGTTCTTTTACATTCGTTTTTTTGTCCTATCGGTTTTGTCTAAATGTATTTATGCTGCTTTTTATACAATTTGGTCCACTCTGTTGTTTTTAAATGTGCTATTGAAATAAAGTTGGATTGGATTGAAAATGTTGCACAGTGATGAGGGACACTTTGATTGTTTTAATATGTACATCAGAAGGTTGTTTGTTACTTTTCTTACAAGCCTGACAACATCATCTGTGCTTGATTACTTATTTTACAAGAGTTAAGATTCTTGCATCTTTGATAAATGTACTGTATATATAAATGTGTTCTGCTTCTCAGGCCACTGTGTAAACTATATTTCCTCCTCTTGAACTAGTTGGGTTACAACAACGATTTAAGTGGGCCCATTATGTAAGATGTTTTATGTAAACTGCTCAACACGTGATCATTTCAAATGTTTAGAAATATTTCCATTAGACTCCAAGAAAAAGTGGTCACCTTTTTTTAAGCATCTACCACATGATGGTCTAGAAACTAAATAACAACTCATTTATTTTTTTAATGTAAAACTAGAGAGTTATGATGAATGAATAAACATTTGATTAATAAATGCATTGTGATGTGGTTTAATGGATCATTCAGTTCTTCATCATGTCAGTCTATTGATGACCAAAAGGCTGCTATCTGAACATTCACATTTTCTTAAAACATTGTTAACATTACATCCAACAGAAAGGGCTCATTAGATGAGTTTGCAAAATGTTTTTGATGATTCAGTTGATGGAGCTGCTATGTTGTTAATTATTCGCCCTTCTGATTTAATCCTATATAATAACTCCGCAGGGGACGAGGTTAATAAGGCTGCAAGGTGGGATCAGGGACACGGTTAGTCAGCGAAACATTAATTGTTTTCACGTCAGCTTTGTTTGATTTTTCTACTTTCTTCTTTGACATAGAATGTGCTACAGAAATGAACACATTACCATTTCATATATGTTTTTCACACCATACTCTCTTTTTAAATTGATAATCAGTAATCAACTTACTTATTATGTACACTCACATATCTTATGTGCTTATACTTTTATCAAAGAGGTTGGTGTTTATTTTTGTTAGAATTCAATATTTTGGTATGTGCAAAACATTTTTTGTTCATCTTGACAATCTCAGGTCAAAGTCATCTTCTTACCGTCTTATGAAGAGATGATTGAGTTGAATAATACGTGAGTTAGGGGACCCCCTGAACTGAGATTGTTATAGTCAATTCATTCTTTACATGAACACTGAAAAATAAAACAGCCAGAGCTATGTGGTCCAGTGCTACCACCACACACACTAGCAGCCGGTATACACTGACCAAATGTATAATATTGAATATTTAAATGTCACCATTATTTTAACAATTTTTTTTAATATTACAGTTGAACTAATACAACACTAAAATCCTCTTTTCGTTTTTCTTTCAGAGAACTGTGAACTGAAATAGTATTCCCAAGACTGCGCTGTTTGGAAACACAGAGCAGCAGCTGTCAGATGTGCAGCACTTGCCATAAAAGATGGTTTGGTCATCCGACCCTACTGTGAGATGGTGATGTTGGGTTGGACTGGGGAATACATGCAAAAATAGAATGTGACATCAGCCCAAAAAGAGTAAATTATGTTTTTATTTCTATATTGCTATCTTTTAAAAATGTTAATTCGTTTTTTACTCTCTTTTTTTTCTTCTTAAATGGGCCAGATTGCACCCTCAGGCTTGTACTGTGTCCCCTGCTGCAGCCCAATGTCTACAGAAGGGGAGAGCAGTAGGATGGGAGGTGAGCATAAAGGGAAAGTGCTTGAGATTTAAAAAAATGTCATGAAAATATTCATATGTTATAGTAATAATTACCAGTTCAAAAAAAAAAAGGTTTCCAAACGTTGAGATAAAAACACAGAATATTACTGGTTATCATAATAAATAAGAGGCTGGTTAAAGTGTAAGGGATAGTGTGACACCTGAAAGAGACAATGGCTCAGCAGCACTTTATGAGATGCACGAAGGAGGAAAAAAGGTAGAGTGGTTTAAGCAGGCCGATGATGAAGAGGGGGGAGGATGGGAGCGATGGAGTGAAGATGCTTTGCCTCTCCCTGGAGCAGAGGAGACACAGATGTCAGAGAACACAAATTCCCCAGAGAGGAGGGCAACAATCTGTTCATTTCTCAGCTCTGCACTGTGAAACACAGTTCGTGAGAGCTTGAGTCTCTAATTGGCTCCATGTTTTGACATCATTACACACTCTGCCTGGATCCCCGGACATCTGCTGTGAGAATTATGACCGTAGGTGTGCAGATGGGATGAGGTTTAAAGATTTTCAGTGTTTTTTTTCTTTTGAACTTTCTATTTTGAGTAAGCCATGGTAAAATATTCCAACATGTTTACTTTGGTATTATTTCTGTGTCCAACCATTGTCTGTCAAATAGATGACATTTGGAAAGCTTATTGTATTACATTTATATATAAATGAATTTTTGTTGTTGTTAAAAAGTCAATGAAAATATCATAGGGAAGTAAACTTAAGAATGCTGTTGTCATGTATATGACATTCAAAAATAAAATAGAAAGAGGGAAGGTGTACTTTTTTTTTAACCAATGAAGTCAAAAAAGTTCCCTTAATTAGGATCCCTGACAATTAGACCTGCACAACTTAAAGTGTGATATTTGGGGAGAATCTGCTTGAAAGAGTGAGTTTTATGAATTTGTTGTAATTATTGTGATAATAACTTTCAAATCATTTAGTACCAAAATGCTGATGTCCTACCGCCCCTTTCAAAAAAAACAAAAAACGTTTCCCTATAGTTTTTTTTATCACTGTTATATTCATGTATTTATTGTTATGTATGGACCAAAACACCAAGACAGATCCCTGGTTAACCTACTTGTCATATTTTTTCTAAAACCTTTTTAACCCTTTGTCTTTTAGTTCCACAGTCCACAGTAGTTTAATGTATATGAAGTCTCATTGGTCCATTGATGGTGGTTAGTTATTGTGTTTTTGTGAACACTTTAATGAACAGAAACAAGGGTTTTCTACAGTAAATCAATGCAGTCAACCTTAGATAAATCCAAAAGGCTAGTAGTGTGGGAAATAGTTTGCAGTGACGTGAGTCCTATGAACTTGGCTCGTGTCATCCAAAATTGACTGTCACTGTTTCACATTCACTTCCTCTCCCTCCTGTAGACTGCAGTGATGCTCGGGTTTGTAGATTAGATCCAAGTCAACTGACTGATGCTGAACACCTGCACGTGGCGAAGGACTGCCTTCTTTTTCGTTCAAGCGCCCCCCAGCCTGCAGAAGCTTCACTCTGCGAGAGGAAGCGCACGATGAGTTCTACTTTCCCCAAAAGCGAGTCCACTACTTCCCTTCTGAAATCCTCGGGGGGCCACAACCGTAAGTCGGGTCCGCAGGATCACCGGAGCCAGCACCGCGTCCAGCACCACCCCACCGGGAGAGAGGATGGAGCCTGGACCGAGGACTGCGAGAGTGCGCGGAGACCTCTCTGCCAACCGAGACACGCAGAGGTGTCTCGAAGTGGAGGAGACCACCGGGGGCAGAAGAGCCACTCTCACCGGCAGGCGAGCCTCCAGGATGAAGGGTACGCTCAGGAGGAAGCGAGGCACAGGGCGAGCCGGCTCCAGAAAGAGCGCAGCAAGTCCACCAGGACCAGGCATCATCCTCACGACTCCTCCCGAGGTGAGCCGCCTCCCGCAGCGCAGCTCCAGCACGGCTCCCCGCAGGACAGGAGGACCTCTCCGGTTCCGTCTTACCCAAAAGGACAGGACGATGCGGATTTCTTCTTCGAGCCCAGAGAGAGGGTGATCACCGGGTCTTCCTCCAGCCTCAGCTCCGACCCACCTGCGACCAGAGCCCCTGCGAAGTCCAGCCGCACATCCAAGAGAGTCAGCATAACCGCGTCTGACTCCGTCCTCCATCCCATAGTGAAGTCAGTCTTTGGACAGGTAAGAGGAGAAACTTTCTGAAACATGTGCATAAGAATACGTTTGTTTGTTGAAATGGGAATCAAGTTAATTTATTACTGAAAGCTCATTGTGTTACATAATGAGGAGCCACATTTGGAAACAGCACCATTTGATGGGACCGACATACAATTAAGAGACACTAAAGCTTAATTTGGATAACTTTTGTTTAAAAATAAGAACTTTTTCATTTATCTAGTCCCTTTTTTGGGGGAGGGATAAAACATTGAAAGTTTGTGATAAGCCTAAGCACGGATTTATTTTTTTGCCATAGGTGCGGGATGATAAAATAAAATAGCTAATATAATGTGTATAAATCCTTATCAGAATGATAGTATAGGAACTAATACAGTCCAATATCTTCACACAGATCCCAAGGCAAGGTGTTTTTTAGGCAAAGGGACATTTTGATGTACTTTATTATTGGCAAATATCTGTTTGTTGATGTTTAAGAAACTCCAGGGCTGACGGCAGGTGGAGGGTTACATGTGAGGTGAAGCTGGGAGCCATGTGTGACCGAACCTCCAGTCACCCCAGTTGAGCAAATAAAAAATTGATGCATGCATCCAGTCAATATTACTCCTGTATGTATCTGGTATCCATCAGTTTCACAGCTGGGGGGGGCTGCAGTCTCTCATGCGTCCCAATTTGAATACAGCCGCTTTCATTGTGCCTGTCACCTGATAACAGCAGGGGGATCAACTTTCCCTCAGTGTGGAACACTTTTCAGTGATGAGAGCTTGTCATGCACAAAAAGACACAATAATGACAGGTAAGTAAAATGTAAACACTGAAATATAATCTTCACTTAAGACATGTTAACTAACGTTGGTGAGTGAGGGTCAGCAGCAGATAAACTGTGCCTCTCTTCTTCCCCGCATCACCTGTCCACTAATACACCCGTCTCCTCCTCACTTCTTCTCCTGTGACTCCGACACATCGTGCACTTATCCAGTACTTCAGGGTTGTCTATTCTCCCCCCTTCTCTTTTCTTGATTCATTTAAATCCTTCTCTCTGCATTGAGGATAAAAAAAGCTGGAGAGGAGACAATTACCTCCCCGAACGCTAATGTGTTCCAGAAATAACTCCTCTCAATCCAGGCCAGAGCTTCAATCAGTCTTAGGGGTTCCAGTGAGGCAAAATCCATGCAGTGACGTAGTATATAAAATCTCTAGAGCTGCTGATTTGGGTGGAAATGGCACCTAATGTTCCTGTTTATTATCTCCATTATTTTCCACCAGCTTTTGGGTGGAAATAGCGGATGTTTTGACGTTTCTGCTTATTATCTTTCTTATTTTCCACTCAATTTCAAGCAACAGTAAGCAATCCCTTATATTTTTGAATAGTTTAATTGGTAAATGTAGCTATGAAAGATGTTTAGAGATGGGAATCTACCTAGAGGATTACTCAGTTGTACTTCACATTAAAAACATCAAAAAGTTTGATGAATGCATATCTTGGGGCTGAATCATTATTTCTTCAAAGGGTAGGAGTTAGGTTTTCTGTAATGTGAAGATAAGTCATATCAGCTGTCGAGATAGCTGTGAGTTGACTGTGCACTCAGTCGTGCATAATTGTTTGTGTGAAAGAGAGAACAAAAAATGGTCAAAGAAAGAAAATGATGGAAGAGACAGTTATTTTTGCACCAACTCAGCATCTTACACCAAGCTGTTTTATTTTAGCGACCCCACAGTCATAATACATGCCCTTGCTCCTTGAATAGATCTGGCAGCACTACGTAGAAAGAATGGTGAAATATTACACACTACAATTGTTTATTTCAAATATTCTTCTTGCGTAACATCAAGATCTGCATACAACCCCAACAGAACTCATTCGCTCCCAGTGGAAGGCGCTAAAAATAGCCCGTCAAGACCTGAATACGAGAGACTGGAGGAGGGCAGAGTGGCTTTTTTTTTGTTTGCCTTGGTAAACATATTCAAATCCTTTGGCATGCATGCCACCTGACAGAGCACATTTAAGGAACGGTTGAATAAAAAGATCAAGTTACCTTCGGGTGCGCATGTTTTTCCAAGCTACCAATTTCTACTGCGCACTTTGATATTCACAAGATGAATCATGATTACCAGAGAGGCTAGTATGTAGGGGTTAGAATAAGGACAAACGTGAGATGTGGTTAGCTGCTTGAATGCCTTTTGCAGCAACAATGTTACAGATAGGTTGTGATGCAAGGTTTCAAGACAACACACTAAAATGCATATATTTAAAGCACATACAAAACCATATTCTTCCTGCACATTCAGGCCTTCCAGGTTATATAACACACCTTGACTAAGGACAGAGCATAAGCACTTTTTTTTGTCCCTGTAGAATATCCGTTTCTATTTTAAGATTTCCTCACAATCACCACTTCCCTCAGCTTGTGTGCCCTTCAGTGACCTTGCATAGATAAAAAAAAAAAAACTCATTAGGAATTTGCAAATGTGGTTCAGACCAGCTATTGCAAGAGGTTTGTTATCTAGGTCTATTAGTGAGGACATGATTTTCTTTTAAAATGAAATGTAAATGAAAGATTGTGTTTTATCCAGCAGAGGGAGCACTGCTCGCTCTAATAGGTCTGAATACAGAGAGTGTGTGTGAGTGTGTGTGAGTGAAAGAGGGATTAATGGTCCACTGTGTGTCACATCAGTGAGACAGGATGAGTGAGAGGGCAGGGGAAGAAAGAGAAGGAAGCGAGTAAATCAGGAGGAGGACAAAGAATAAATAGAAGTGCTGGCAGACCTGATGATTGTTATGTAAGGCAAACACTTCTAACTTCCCTGCTCCCACTAGACGGATCAGAAGGCAATGTGAGGAAAGGTCTTCAAAAACAAATTGGCCCTTCACTTCATCGCCTGGTTTCCCTTTTAGTCATCTCACCCAATGACATTTCCTGTCTTTTATTCCCTTTCTTCCTCTTTTTGCCTTTTATAAAACATCTCCTCCTCTTCTCCTCCGGGGTCACACTGACCTTGGTGATGTTTGAGAAGTGAAAAAAGAGGAGGCATGCAGAACGACAAAATACAAAATGAGAGGAATAAGGAGAAAGAGCTGTGTGGAAATGAGAGGGAAGGAAATCATCATATTCATCACAGCATATGCCTGCAGTATGTCTAGAGTATACGAGGCTATTTTTAGACACAGTTGGATATTTTTATATCTGCGCTGGCAAAGGAGGAGGCAGAAAATGTCTCTCTTTGGTTAAATCCCTTTTTTGAGATGAGGATTAGGCAGTGAAATGTAATAACCTGCACACTCAACGGCACGGGAGGCAGTTTGAAGCACATGCGTGTGGTGTGCGTGGTGATGCTAAATATTCATGCAGACCTGAGGCTGAGAGGGGAAATCAGTGAGAGACAGAGGACAGGGGCTAAATGAGTCAGAGGAGAAACAACAGGGGTTTAATTGACTCAAATGAGGCAATGTCAATATTTTCAGCTGATGACGCATTAGACGTTTAACCAGACCAATTAAACAGTTTTGAACTATCTGAAATAGCTTTGAATTTCCAGAATAATCTAGCATGAACGCTCAATATTTCAGCTAAATGAATCAATGGCAGGATAAAACGGTGACGTCTTAACCCAAGCACAAGCAGATGACGCATGTGTGCTTTGTATTTTTTTTCATCGGCTAGATGGCCTCTGAGAAACACACACACACACACACACACACACACACACACACACACACACACACACACACACACACACACACACACACACACACACACACACACACAAAAACAATAAAGTAAACCCAGTTGCTTTCAGACAACGTTTGACCGTGACAATGTTACCACTTTGCAATTGAAAAGAAAGGAAAGTTTTCCGTACAATAACAAAAGAACAAATGTCAGATTGATGATGAACGCTTCACAGCTTGTCATGTTATCCTTTCTTGTCCTTCCCCCTCCTACTGTACATCTCTCCACTCATTTACAGTAACACACTCATGGCAGTGGATGAAACAGGATTATATTTGACCTCAAAATCTTCATAATAAAGCAAAAGTTATTATTAGTTTTTCTCTTGGAATGAGCTTCCCGTCCACACATTAGTTTAAATGTAGAATCTGTGTGTGGTTCAAGGAAAAACATCCACAGCTATTCATTGAAATTCTGTCCTGAGATGTCAGTGAGGATTGTGTAATGTAAAGTACAGTGTGTGTGTGTGTGTGTGTGTGTGTGTGTGTGTGTGTGTGTGTGTGTGAGTGAGAAAGGGGTGAGGAGAAGGATACAGGGGGAGATATAGATCTCATGCCCGTGCTCACTATAGTGGTCTGACATTATGAGAGTTGACGGCCCCTGTGTCTGACGTCTGATGTGTTCTGAAGTTCACAATGAGCCTCCGGTGAGGGTTGGGTGAATCATCCACAGAGCAACACAGAGGAGCCGCGCAGATATTGAATAGGAGCGAGATCGGAAGCGACGTCGGCGTGAATGTGTTTATTTAAATGGCAGAGAATGGACAAGGTCATCAGTGGAGGGAAATAAGGATATCTATTAGTGTTGCTATGGTTTTAGTTCAAGTTAGCTCAGGAGTGAATGCTGCTGGTAAAAGCCTTAAATGAGGGTTTAATAATACATGTCTCTTTTTGTATTTTTAGATGGTGCTGGAAGAAGCACTCACATCCTCAAAGTCCCCCTCTGTTTAAAAAGGTGTTACTCCTCTTGGATGTTTGACATTCGAACTGCAGAATGATTTATGTGCAGTTTGACACTAGAAGGCTCTCTTCAATTGTGTCTAAGGAGAAAGCGTTTCTCTCTGCGAAACTTAAGACAAACAGCCAGGTTGTGTTACGTCACAGCTTGTTTGGAGGCAAATCATGTTAAAAATGAGCAACCTGCCTGAAGGGGATCAGGGACGCAAACCCTGCCTGCTCTTTTAAATGAATTTCAGAAACACGCTTTTTTCACCTTTATGTAATTTTGTTTATGTTTTGTTACTTCTGTGTGTTTTACTCTGTTCCCAGCGACTGTTTCCTTTTATGTTAATTTCATTCTCTGAGTATTTAAATCTGTCTTGTTTTATATAAGTTATAAATATGCTACTTACACAAGTGCAGGGAATAATGTGAAGCCTCCAGTGCACAAACACTGAGAATGGCACATTTGTATTTATAGCAGAGAAGATATAGTCTGAAGGGAATGTATGTAAATACAATACTACAAGATGTAAGTAAAGGTCATTTCATCATTATTTATGGGTGGAATGTAATTATTATTCAAATATTTTTTTTTAACATCCTTTACATTTTGTATGATATTTGTGTTGCTTTTGCATTAACATGGATACAGCCTAAAGGCTCAGCTGGTTAAACTGCTGACGAATCAACACTTTTTTAAGACCAGATTCATAATAAGTGTAAAGGTAGCAGATCCAAGTTTTCCAAGTCAAGCAGGACGAAATACTTGCATTTCATTTCTTTTGTGGTTCAGAAATATGCTTAGCACGGAGCCTTCATCAAAGCCATGCGCTACCTTTTCACTGTTTCTTCGAATATGCTTTGATTTGAGGGATTAGCACTCCACCGAGAATCCGGTTGTAAAATGCAAACTTCTTTTTCAAAAGATTGTTATACTCTTACTGTATAAGAAATGCATCAGATTTGTGGAGGTAAACTGTAAAAAAGGATGTAAAGCAAAAAGTAGAGTATTGCTTTCTGAAATGTAGTGGAGAAGTATAAAGTCACATAAAATGAAAATGCACAGTAAAAGTATCTTTAAATGACACATAACCCCCCTTGCATCTGTTTACTGATGTATTTTGAGCCGTTTGATCTTTAGCGACACTCTCCTTCTCAGTCATAGTTCTTCACAATAGGTGTGTGTGTGTGTGTGTGTGTGTGTGTGTGTGTGTGTGTGTGTGTGTGTGTGAGAGAGAGGGGGTGATAAAGAGCATGTATCTGCCTGACTGTGTGCTTGCATTGGCACACATTGTTTGCATCGTTAGTGGTTCACAATCCACGTGTCATTTATTGCACATTTTGGCTTTGATCTGAATCCATGCCCTTCAAGCTTAACTTGACATTGTGATGCTTCTACATTGTGTGTGTGTGTGTGTGTGTGTGTGTGTGTGTGTGTGTGTGTGTGTGTGTGTGTGTGTGTGTGTGTGTGTGTGTGTGTGTGTTTTAGGGGGGGATGAATGCTGGGGGAAGAGTGGTGAAAAATATGGGAGAGTAGGGGGTGAAGAGAGAGCGTGTGTTTTATTTTTAGCTCAACAGCCCCACATCCATGTGTGTTTAATGGAGTGTGATTTTGCGTGTGTGTGTGTGCGTGTTTGGATTAGTGTCTCCAGCGTCTCGCTCAGGGGAAGGTAATATACTTGTCCGAACGAGCTTCTTCTGTCAGATTCACATAGATGGTTTTAAACTGTGGAGAAGGGGAGAGAGGATTGGGGGGGGGGAAAGAGCAAGAGACAGATGGACAGACAGAGGGAGAGAGAGAGAGAGAGAGAGAGACAGAGAGAGACACAGAGAGAGAGAGAGACAGAGGGAGAGAGGGAGAGGGAGGCAACACGCTAGAGAGGATGGAATGAATGAGCAATCTTGCTTTTCTACTCTTGGCGCTTGCACCTCGCTCTGAACACATGCATGCTTCCTCTCTTTTCTTTGTGTTGTTTGGTTCTGTCCTTTGTCCTTTATCCTTGTTTACATATTTCCTCCTTTGTCTTTGTGTCCCTCCCTTCGTACCTCCCGGCGTCTTCGCCTCTAGGTCCTCCCCGTAAACTCCTCCGTCCTCTCCCTCCTCTACCTCCCTATGATATATCTGCTCCTCTCCCTGCCTTCTCCCAGATGTCCTCTCATGTTAGTCAATGACCCTCAGAACCCTCTTTCCCTTTCTGATCTCTCCTATTCCCATGCATGCCCGGGAGCATATGCAAACACACATGCCTACACTTACATACAGTAACACAGTCACGGTTAGAGAGAAAACTTAAGACAAGGAGGATTTTTTTTTCTTTGCAATGGGCAACTCTTTAAAGTCGCTTAGAAAGAAGGTAAGCTCTGCGGTGGTCTTCTTGAATCCCCTGGGTGTTGTTGCATGTTTGTCTCATGGTGTGTCCCCCAACCTGACTGAAGGCGATCTGACTGGACCTGCTCTGAATGGATCTTCACTAACAAGCTGTCTAAAACTGTTTCCCTTCTTTTGTGTCACCTTGAGTTAGCATGTGAGGCAATATTGGAAGAGTTGTTTTAAGATGAACCTGTAGTTTTAGTCAGGAAATAATTGTCTTTATTGAGTGTTGAAAACTAATTATGTATGTACTTTATGCATTGAGTAGGGCAGCTGTAATATGACCTCTATCAAATGCTCTCTTTTAAGATCCCCTCGTGCTCATTAGTGCATTTTTACAATCCCTTAAAAAAAACATTTGAGCCTTTTGTCAAGGTGCTGATGTGCTCAACCTGATGGGCGAACAAAAGTCGGTGAATTTGGATCATGTCACCAAACATCAGTCAAATCCCGCAGTGATGCTACCTTGCCAGCCAGCTGTAGCTTTCTACTCTGTTGAGCTGCACCTGCAGGATGTGATGCTACAAAACAGGTGTGCTCTTAAACTACATCAGATCTTTTAGCTTTTGGACGACAATACAAGTGCGCAGTCGAGGATCAACAAAGGAAAAACACTCAAGAAGATCAAGAAGATAACCTTGGTTTTGAACTATCTCTTACATCTGCTGTCCTCATCGTATCAGCGTATGCTTTGATGAACTCAGTGTAGCAGACAGACAATACCACAAATAGATGTTCCTTCATTTCCACAGCTGCACATCCTTGAGGAAGCACAATATGACATGCAACTGTTGATGCCATCTGTGCAGAATTGGTTGGAGTGCTTGAGAAGTTCTTGCTTTTTTCCCCTTCTTCCTTTGGTTATATAAATGCAAGCGCGTGGCTTCATAGTATTTTTCTGGCACGATATACCCACAGACAGCCCCGCTCTGCATCACTTGGTCAGATGACCCAGTGGGCATCCGTTATTGTGGTGGTGGGGACTGAAGCAATGCATGAACTGGCATTAAGAGTGTGAAGGTCATCTGTAGAGATGAATACAGTATGTATGCATGCATGCATAATGATTTGTTCCTTAAGCATATAAGTGTTGAACCTTTACTGTAAAAGCATTTGAAGACGGGTGCTATGTCTGTGGGGTTTAAAGCGGCAGAAAAATGGTCCCTTGGTAATTCGCTCTGACAGTTAGTCACCTCCACTCACTTTAGCTGGATTTTTCTCCATGAGTTGGATTTTACTTGGCAATAATTGAAGATAAATGTTTGCCAAGAAAGGATAGTCACAGAACATTAAAACAGAATTTCTAATACTCTTGTATTCAGCATTCAGCCGAAGATCAGGCAGCTGCTCGCTCTCATTTAAATAACAGTCAGTTTGGACCTTGTTTGGCTTAATTTAGAAGAAGCTTTTCTGTCCACTCATGAATAGCGATTGCCCATTTTAATAAACCTGTAGTTCTCTCTGTAGTCGGGATGACAGCTGGGGAAGGAACTTTTGCCCCCTGGTTAGTTGACTAATGGATGATTATAATGAAATGGCTGGCTGAACTTTAGCCTCAACTTCTGGCCAACACAATTGGTGTGTAATGTGGGCACAGAAAACTGAAATTGAAGTAACTTACCAGCATCTTAATGATTTAAATCAACTATTGAAAATCCCTGATACCTTTTAAGCTCTGCTCCATCAATAAAACTACCCATACATTTAGACTGTGTCATCAGAGGGAATCAGGCTGTCAGTTAAATGTGTTCAGCTGTTTTAATCAGATGTTAGAGGATTACTGAATACAATTTCTTAATTTTGAAGCATTGCGGTTGGTACTATATTATAGTCTGTGTGATTGCGCAGTACAGCGACATTACCACAAGAAAGACAGAACAATCATACAAATGTAGCTATGTTTTTTTATTTATAATTATACTACATTAATCTGGAAAATGTATTTTAATCACCCTTTAGGACTTTGTTCTTGATGGTGCTGTTTCAAACTATAATCTTTGTTAGACAGGATAGTCAAAAGTAAACACTTTAGCCCTTTGTAATAAATCGGAATAATTATTTTAAGGCGGGACAATTGGAAGCTGAAAATAAAAGGGCAGTTGGGTGAGGCTGACAGTGGGACATAGGCATTTTATTTTTGCCATGCAATAAACTCCACCATTGGCATTAGAGGGGGATGAGGGTTAGGGTTTCTGTTTTGTTAAATGATTCTGTTAGTCTGCCACTAGGGGATTGAGATGTGTTATATCTCCTGCGACAGAGGCTCGGTGGTGTGTTCTGTTGTGCAGCCTTGTGACCTGCAGCACAGATTCATGGATGGCATCAGTTGCTCATGTCATGACAAATGACCCCCTCTCCCCTCTCACTGCGGTGCTTTCCTCGGTCATGACTGACCTGACTCCACACTTCTCTGTGACTGGCAGACATATGCCCGTCACCCTCTCCCTCCCCCATACCATCCCACCTTCTTGTTGACTCCATGCTTCCATAATCTGAGTCACGGTCTCTACCCCTGTCTTTGCTCCTGCTCCCATGTCTGGCCTCCCCCCGTCCCAAATGCTGCCCCAGGACCAAAAGAAGAACTACAAGGCAGTGCAGTCCTGTGAGGAGGGGGGATCTGGGGGGGCCTATCTTGAGCCGCTATTGGCCCTGGCCCAGAACGGAGCCAGCATGCACACCGTACTGGGGCCTGCGTGCATCTTTCTACGCAAGGGCTTCGCTGAGAGCCGGCAGGCTGTACGTAAGTCCAGACAATATCATGTGCATGCATGGCAAGAGATAAGAACACATGACAGTAATAACAAAAACATGTGATGAAAGTGTGTCGTAATCACCTCTCACTGTAACATCAACACTAACAGCATGTACGGAAAACGTGGTTGAAATGACAGGCTATTATTTTAGAAGATGAAATATGATTTAGTCCTTTTGAGATCAAGAAGGCAAGGGTGTGTGTATAGTTATGCATGAGGAAGCATTACTCAAACAACTGTGGAGATTTGTAGCAAGATGGAGAATTGTTAAATCTGGGCTATGGTAATGGCGGATATGTTCCTAACATGATTATCTAACCAATCTAATTTGTTTGGACAAAGTCTTGTTCTTTTAAGAAAACAGTGAATCCTCAGGGTAGACGACCGCTGTTTTAATGACTCTTCTGAAGACAAACTCTCAGATAACGGATGCAGGGGTTGAGATTGAGTCATGTTGATTTAATGGACGGGGAAATGGAGAATCTGTTGTGAGCTTTGCGTCCCTCCAATGTCTCTGCATTTCATCGTGTTTCTGATTTTTACTTTCCCAAAACCCTAATGTGTTATTTTTCCACAGGGTGTAACAGAGTGCCAGGAGTGCTTGTTTTCTGCAGCAGGTGATCTCACTGAAAAGCTCTTCCCCTCTGACTGGAAGGAAACATGTAGACTCTTGGCACTCTGCGGCACATGCCTGCTGTTATTGTATCATATTGTTTGTGGAATGCTACGTTTTGGCATGATTTGAAAGATACCAGCAGTGTTTGAATCCTGACCTTTCACTGATCTTTCACAGGACCGAGAGTTGAGGCCCGAAGAAATGGATGGTAAATTCAGTGAAAAATAAAGAATGAGTAGATATAACTCTAATTTGTACAATATTCTTAAATAATCTTCACATATTCTCTCTTCATGTCTCTCGCTCTCAGAGTTGCGTGAGGGTTTTAAGGAGTTTGACAAAGACAAAGATGGGTTTATCGGCTGTAAAGACTTGGGGAACTGCATGAGAACTATGGGATACATGCCAACAGAGATGGAGCTTATTGAACTGAGCCAGCAGATCAACATGAATTGTGAGTAAAATGGTGCCTTTGTATATGTGCATTAATGTGCCTGCTTATACATTTTTTCATCTGAAAAATATCTAGAATCAGTTGTGCATGCTATGACTAATTATCAGGTAAAGTACAAATAAAGCAATACATCTTGTGTCTCTTAGATTACCGTAAAGGTTAACCCATTTTATTATTTGTAACCTGCCCAACAGTGGGGGGACATGTTGACTTTGAGGACTTTGTTGAACTCATGGGGCCCAAACTTCTGGCTGAAACCGCAGACATGATTGGGGTGAAGGAGCTGAGAGATGCATTCAAGGAGGTGAGGAAAGACATTAGGAAAAAACTTACAGAAAAGCAAACTGAGTGTGATAACAATACGCATATAGAGCTTATATCATGTCATATATCATATAGCAATAATCTAAGGATGTTCTACCGGTGGTTTGGTCATTCAGATATGATGATAGTGGTTGAAAAAAGCTAAGGATTAGATGTAAGAAAAAGGGGAATAGCATAATGCATTTAATTGTATACATTACTATTTCAAAATAATTAAAGAGCCTTTGCCTAGAAATTTGCAGTAATAAACACACAGACAATAAAATGGAAAACAAAAAACAGATTTTCACAATATAGTATTTTATGATTTTAATGTAATAACTGTGTTTCATTAATTTTTTTCTCTCTCAGTTCGACACTAATGGTGACGGCCAGATCAGCACAGCAGAACTCAGAGAAGCAATGAAAAAACTGTTGGGCCAACAGGTAGAGAGTATCTATCCTCTTTGTTTATCAATCATGGTGTCCATCTGATCCTGTCCGTTTATTCACACCTTCCCCTCAACTTGACTCTTTCAGGTCGGACACAGAGACCTGGAGGACATCCTACGAGACATCGACCTCAACGGAGATGGGCATGTGGACTTTGAAGGTAAAGAATCCTATGCAGTGCATCACACCATGCCTTGCTATTTATACATATACTATTTAATTTCACAGCGTGCAGAGCCTGGAAATCAAACATGCTTACATCATAACTTTGTCTCTCGCTTTAAATCACACTCAGAGACATTTCAAAGTAAAATCCTAGCATGTGTTCTGATATCTGGACACCACGCTGATCGTGAGGTGAGGGGATGAAGGCACTACAGTAGGTCTGTCTGTCAGATTATCTCCACACCAAGGGATTATGTCACCTCACAGATTACCCACAGAGGAAAAGATGCAAACACATCAGGGATGAAAGTATTAGAAACCACTGCTACTCTCAGTTGTAAAACGATACTTGCATCAACATCATTTAATATGTTTTCCTGGATTCTATACAACCCATCAGAAATAATGTCCAAGCTACATTTGATTGTATTCCTTATGTATGCATATAGGTGGTGTAAGTTTACTGTAAACGTATTTGATGATTGGTGTTATGTCTGAGGTTCTAAGCAGCAGAACAATTTTTCCTGAGCTGTGACAGTGAGTCCACTGCTCTCCACAAAAAGAGACTCATCTTTGAAAGTCCTAGATACATGCACAGTAGATTATGGTCAAAATGTTCCTTATGAATGGGATGTATGGCAGGAAGTAACCAAGTCATATAAAAGGTGAGAAGTTCTGTTTGGATCTATGATTAGAGTGTTTGTTACCAATCAATCATTTTAGAAAATAAATGGTTATTGTGTCTGTTTTTACTGAAAACAATACAATGTTTTGATACTGTGAGTTGAGATCAACTACAGTTAAGGCATAATGGAGATTTGGCACTAAAATGACAGCCTCTTTACATTAACAATAATTGTATCATGTGTATAAAGGAGTAGTTGTGCAGCATCACATATTCTATTGAGGTGACTTAACAAACGCTTGGTAAAAAAAAAAAAATCAGCTCTTTCCTTTAATTCCCAGAGTTTGTGCGGATGATGTCTCGATGAGGTCCTGACCATGAATCAACATGAACTCTGGTGTGGGAGCACGAGGAAAGAGACCAGCATAGAGCACCAACGGATCTTGAACTACTGAGCTTTCAATGGAAACGAAAACATATCAACCCCGCCCTGAAACTGCCATGCTGAAGCACACAGGCTGTTTACAGCCAGAAGCAACACTGTTCATTTCTTAGAAAATAATCAAAACCAACAGCTGCATTTGTAACTTTTGCAAAGTTTATTTAAAAAACAAATTTTCCTTAAAAATACCAACACATTTAATGCTGATGTTGACTCAATGGGTCGAACTGGATGTTTGGGCGGGATGCTCAAACACTGTTTGTTGTAAAATCTGTGTCACTCAGACATTGTTAAATAAGAGATTAACTGCTCCTCCCCCACATCCCCATGTGGGTCCTCCCCAGTTCCTGGTGCCTCAAGCTCCTCCCCCACATCCCCATGTGGGTCCTCCCCAGTACCAGGTGCCTCAAGCGTCCACCCTACATCCCCTTGTGGGTCCTCCCCAGTTACATGTGCCCCAAGAGTATCCCCCACGTCCCCTTGTGGGTCTCCCCCAGTACCAGGTGCCCGACGCTCCAGTCGAGCGAGGGGCTGACTGGACTGGAGGGGCACTTGGAGCATCAGTCCAGCGGGGGTCCGACTAGACATGGGGGGCACTTGGAGCATCAGTTGACATGCACTGTGTGTACATATCTGGGTTTGGGGTAGAACATTATCTTCACAATCTGTGTCATATTCATCACTACAGCTTGAGGGACAAGTTATATATGAGCTTTGTTGCCTCTGTAAAGCGTCCTGCCTAGCAAGAAGCTGCATGACCATATTGCGGATTTCTTTAATGTTATGTTCTTGGGTGGATGGGGGAGGGTAAGAAGCTCCATAGTGCTCATAGTCTTGCAGATATGAGGTTGCATATCTGTTCCATGCTCCCCGCCAAAGTCCCTCTTCATCCTGCTACTCTCTCCGATCCATATCCAATGCCTAAGCACTCCGGCTCGAAGGACCATGTAAAAACTAGGCTGTCATTTTAGGGAGGGTTGCCTGAAGTGCCTCTGCATTGGCATACCAGTCAAAGTATGAGGACCCACGATGAGAGTAGTTTAACCATTTATTTGCTTCACATGCAGTTGACAGTTGATGTAGCTGATGGTGGTGATGATGATGATGATGATGATGATGATGATGATGATGATGATGATGATGATGATGATGATGATGATGATGATGATGGTGGTTATGATGATTTCAAAGCTAGGATATAAACACAAGTGGAAATAGGAAGAGCTACAATACTCTGTAACAAAAAAATCAAATATTGCTTTCGCCAGATAACCCTAAACAAGCTATCAATAAACCTAATCAACAATTACATTACATTACATTGAACGTAAACACAACTTAATAATGCATCGATATTCAGCTTGTGAAGAGAGCACATGGGGATCAGCTTGAGGCTACAGACACGGGAGAGACTGAGCAGGGCTGATTACAGGCCTTAAATGGGATCAGGTATGGCCTGGTAGGTGGAGGTTAAGCCCCGCCTCCCACCAGACCAAAAAAGGCAGGGGAATTTACAACACTGTTAATAAATGTAGCATTTAAAAAAACACATTTGTAACTACAGCTGTAAGCCAGCAAACATCTGAACTAACACAGCAAATGTTTTGCTAAAGCAGAGGACATCTAAAGCACAAACATAAAATGGCAATATGAAAATATTTGATGTGATTCTATCAAAGATGTGTGTTTGTGTTTGTGTTTTGTGCATAATGTTGTCTCTTTCCAACCTACTGTCGGTTTAATGTCCCCTAAGACTATGGTCATACCCTGGTTAAGGAAAGCCAATATTTGTTTTGTAATTATGTACAATGTAGCACTTATGCAGTTCTGCTGATTTTAATAACATTATGCCTATCTTACTGTGATAAATGTCATGTTCAGTGTGCATCAACTGCAAAAAAATCTCGAAGGAAATTCTCTTAAATTACAGTGAGTTTCTAATCTTGACTACAGCGATATGCCTTTTTTATTACATGTATTATTTATTCAGAATTTTGCTTGCAGGAATTCATAAAGTTTGACAGATACCACAGAGCGTTAAAACTAAACTGTAAATGAAAGAGAAATTCTGTTTATGCTTTAATTTTTTCAGAGAGCTTTATGAACTTTGCCTGTTTTATTGGGGTTTCGTGAGTCTAAACAATCCTGAAGTGATTTAACTTGAATACCTCAAGATGAATTGAACAATCAACCTCATCCACTAAACTGCCCCTAGCATAAGCTCTAATATCATTTTTTGTTTACCCTTCTGCCATGATTACATATACTTGTGAAGAAGCCGCATTTGCTTCTTTATGTAAAAAGCCAAAGAAAGTTTACAAGAAAAACATGAGTCTTATTCAGTGTATTAAGTGTGTACATTGTGTTTTAGAAGTAGGCCTACAATCCATTGGATTATATGTTTTAAAATGGCTACTTGAAATGCCCTTCCAAGTTGATGGGGCTGCTAAATTCTAGATTGACTGTTCATAAATGGACATGGGGGGGCTTATGCATGTTATAATGTTGAGACATTCTTCCAAAGGAAAATCTTACTTTGTGTTTTACTTGTCTTAAGTGTGTGAAACTATGCATGCAAGAAACAACTGACATTTGTAGCAGATTAAATAAAGATTTTTATTGGAACTTTTCTGTCTTAAATACAAATGATTTTGAGGACACGTATCTGTCCAGACCGACACATTATATTGTGTGTCTATCTTTCTGGTGAACATTTCTAAGGTAAGGTTTGAACCACAGACAATTATCAGTATTGAATGTATGACAGGTATCCATTCATTTCTATGGACAATCAATGGGGTTTAATTCCAACACAGTATGCATATGGCTTGAAATCAGCAACATTAGAAACATTCCTTTTCAGAGATTGGATGTTGCAAAAGCCAAAATGAAAAAGCTTAATCCAACTTTCATGGTTTATCAAAATGAATAATTTCTAGAAAAGATGCAAAACATCTCTGACATTTACAAAAATGTTTTAAATAACAATCTGACAAGTGTTCTTAATGATCTAAACACACAGTCCTTTCTATAATGACTCATTGTGTTAAGTTAACAGTAACAGGACACAGAGTAGACCATCTTCACCCTCTCATTAAATCCAAATACATTTTCAAAGGATAAAACTATAACTGCTTGCAGGCAATTTTGTTGTTTAAGGTTATTTTTCTTCATAGATTAGTCTCTTTAGGTAAACGTTATGATAAGTAGCTCTTATCATAAATGCCAAGCGCATTATCATTTTTTAAAGATTATTAATAATGGATACTAGTCTATGTGATGATGTATTGCTTTGGATAAAAGCGTCACTAAAATGTAATGTAATGTATTATTATAATGTTTTTTCTTCTTAGTATTTCTGTCCAGTGTGAGCGCATTACATTGACAATAAGCAGGTTATATTCGTTTCAAGCTCTGTAATCAGATTACTGTGGACTTCCTGCCCACAGTGACGGCGGCTCTCATTGGTCACATTTTGTCATGTTGCTATGGTAAACCTGTAAATAAAGCCAGCAGCTGCACACAGATACATGTAACGATTTTACAGCCGGGATTGTCCTGATGGAGAAACACCTGCTGTACCTGCTGACCGACTGTCACCCCACTCCTCCGCCGCCACAACACTACCGTTAGAAGCGGGGAACGGTAATGCCGTTACCAGGTAGCTTACACAATATTAGCCGTTGGTCACAGTGACAGTAAGCTTTATTAACCTAGCAGCTACCTTCTTGTATGCTAGCATGTTGCGAAACTAACTCATGGAAACTTGCTGATAAATATTGCATACTGCGACAGAGTAACTTAACATTAGCTAGTAGGCTACACTAGTGGTTAAACCATATGCATAGAAAACAGTAGCTGTTTGCTGTTAAATCTTATTATGTTGGTAATAAATACGGTAATGCAGGTGATAATGTGTGACATTATTGTAGCTAGATAGCCCTGCTTGTTGTACCATAACGTTAATGATATATAGTTTATATCTGTATCAAAGTAGGTTATTTATTTAGAGTAACTAGCTTTTAATATTCAACCTTTCAGTGTTAATTGCATCCCTCTGCTCTGAGGTTTAACTGGTAATGTACCTTCAAATGTATTCTTACATTTATTTTTTATCATTCAATTCATAGCTAGTGACAATATTAATTTAGTTTTCTTTAAACCTTTTTATCTATTTTTTTTTAATTCAACATAACCATACACTCTCCGACAAAGGACCTAAAATAAACAAGATAAATGCAAAGAAAAGGAGGGCGAAAACTGTAGACCCTGATGCTGGATTAAAAAGGTATTGTGTGTTGCATCTAATATGAGGGTGTCACAAGTCACATGTGTCTAATATCATACCCATTATTGGTCAACAGCAACAAATTATTATATTGTTCAAAATATAAGTCAATCACAATTTAGCACAAGTCACCTGAAAGGGATTCTAAACATTGTCCTTTTTTATGATAATCTTGATCATTTGATCTGTCTTTTTCAGACAATGAGTTTCTCCTAATGTTCGTTCCACCGTGGGCTTCGGACGGCGTCTCTTCAAACTGACCAGGAGTCTGTGAGCAGCATGGCTTGGTTCACAATTCCTGTTGAGAACCTGCTGTGCAAGTGTCTCTGCATCTTCATCACCGTCTGGTTGACTCTTCTAATTGTCTTCATAATTGTGCCGGCCGTCCTTGGAATATCTTTTGGTCTCCGCAGACTCTACATGAGGACCCTTCTCAAGATCTTTGAGGTGAGTATGGTCTCTGTGTAATGCACCATGTTTTTAGAACGATACATAATCAAAGTCATTTGTATTGATATGGTTTTGGACCAGGGTTTCGTTTATTTATTATAAACTTAACACAAAAAAGTAAGGCAATTTGTGTTTGGTAGATGATTTCTATGTTGTAACAGTGCTTTTTGGCAATAAATCTTATATTGTTGAAAAGCCTGTTTTCTTACCTGTCCAAAAGTAACACATTTGTGAGGAACAGGCAGACAGGCCATCCCATCCTCTCCACTCCTACTCTATCGGTGCAGCAATCAGCAAAGCCTTCTCTGCGTCTTCTCCACACTGTAACCTACAATCCAACTGTCGTATGCAGATTCTGGACTCTGGACTCAACAAAATGTTCCTCCACATGTTGAGGTTCCAGTGCATGTGGGCCTGAAGGTGATGGGCAGGCTCCTGGCAGCCGTATGAGACCAGAGAGTGGCTGCTGTTTGGCATTGGCAGATAATTTTTCATGGGCGCAACCCACATACTTAGCTCTGCTGCTCATCCCACAAATGCTTGTTCCTCACAAATGTGGTACCATTGGAAAGGTAAGAAAACGGGCTTTCCAACGGTATAAGATTCATTGCCAAAAAGCATTGTTACAACAACAAAATCATCTACCAAACACAAATTGCCTTACCTTTTTTGTTAAGTTAACCCTTAAGTGGATCTTTTTGGACCCGGTGAGGTGGTTTTCTTGAAGTATCTTTGTAGTTACATTTTTTTAATCATTTCATATTCCAACTATTCCTCAAAAAACATGTTTTGGATATCATGCCATTCACATTTTAAATTTAAATGTTATACTTTTTAAGAAATTGTAGTTTTTGTATTTCTACACCAAGTTCCATAAGTGGGTCAAAAATGAGCCGCATGCATTTTCTATGGAATTTCGTTTTTTTTTTCAAAATGTAAAAAAAGTGTCTAAAATTATAAATAGTGAAAAATTAAATATAAAATGTTTCTAGTGTGAACCAAAATAACCCTACACTCTTCCATAAGTGGGTCAAAAAGGACACGTATTAGAATAATATGAGTTTTTATGCCATTTTTGTCATTTTGGTTAAGAAAAATCACTTGTATAATATTTAGTATTATATTTTGGTTCACACTAGAAACATTTTATATTTAATTTTTCACTATTTATAATTTTAGACACTTTTTTTACATTTTGAAAAAAAAAACGAAATTCCATAGNTGCCTTAGGCTGGCCACAATAAAAGGCCACTCTGAAACGTGCAGTTTTGTTTTATTGGGGGGGTCTGGGGGGTCCGAAAACCAGTCAGTATCTGGTATATATATATACACACATACACGAAACATGTCTCTGAAGTGTTTGACTCCAAAGACCAAACAGATCATTGTAGCATCCCATAATCCCCTCTGTTTCAGCCCTGTTTCAGAAGTGCTGATTCTCTGTCTGTTACTTTATAGA